CAACAAAAACAGATCTGCTCTATAAAACTGCGTATATTGGCTCGTGTTCGGTGTTTAGTAATTCTTGTCGACATGAAGGCACAGACGCTCTTTAGCAGAAGTGAGAGAATTTTCAAAATCCAATCCGCCGATATGTAGGACATACGTAGAAGGTAAAGCCATTTCCCCTCTTGCATGACTGCTTCCTGTCATGTTGCCGCGTCTAAATCTTTGAATGTTTGCCAAAAAAAAAAAAAAAACACCACAAGTTTCCTCAGTCAGACACTTTGTGTCTGTCTCCCATATTTTCCACATGATAGAATTTTTAGTAATCCCTCTGGATTAGACAGACTTGCTCTAATACCTGGGGATGCGAGTCAAACACACTTAGAAGGTAGTGTGTGTGTGTGTGTGTGTGTGTGTGTGTGTGTGTGTGTAAGCCCGCGTTGCTGCACGGAGAGAAGGGAAACCGAATGTTTGGGATAAAGAGACTGAGCGGTGGGAGAGAGGGAGGAAGACAGAAAGGGAGAGAAACGGCTTTAATGTCGGCCTCCCTTTTAGACATGCTTTTAATTCCTCCGCAGGAATATCAGCAATATTTAACTGGAAATGTCACAGAATGTCACGTCGGAAAATGTCACTGGGGAAGGACTGGAGGGTGACCTCAAACGTCCCCCCCTTTAAGATGAAATAAATATGCCTCAGTGGTATTGTAAAGGCGCTTTTTTTTTCTTCAGCATATGATTTCTCCATTTTACGAAGGCTATTCATTTTCATAGCAACAGAGGGGCGAAAAGCCAGAAGACGAGCAGGGGAGAGATAAATGAACTCATCAATCGCGCTGAGTGGGAACACGGGATCAGCTAACATCTACCCCGTCATTTCCACCAGCCGCCCGGTAATTGTTGACTTGCAGTGCTGAATGCATTGCCGACTCTGGCCTCCTGCATGTGATTATTGCTGCGATTGCCAAAAGGGATGGTTACCATTTCCTAAATGATCTATTGGTAAACATTTTCTATGTGAAAGTATACATTAAGGAAGCCATTTGCAACCCACTTTATCATCACCCTGTTTAGTTTCATGAAGAGAAAGAAGGAGAAAATTTTCTGGTCTTAAACCTTTTTTTTTTTTCTGAGTTATTAGACTATAAGCAGCAAAGAAAGCTAGGAACCTTTTCAGTTTTAACTCCAGGAGACAAAAAGATGCATTTCATTAAATTGGGATATACTCAAAAAAGTTATTTTATTTTCTAAAAGTAGATGCAGAAAGGTTATTCAGAAATAATTGCACTGCATTAAATTTAATTGAAAGTTGAGTGGAAGGATAAACAATTGTCGTCATCCCCGAGTTAATAATATTAACATACATAAATGCTTGATTTTTTTCTTTACAGTTCTCTCATATTGTGTTGTGCCCCTTCCAGAGTTTGTCCAGTTAACACATCATGAAAGCATCTGACGGTACATCAACATGTCTTAGTGCATTATAGAAGTTCATTTTTAGAAATCAAGTTATTTTGGTAATTCAATACTATTTTTTTTTGTTTGTTTTACTTCATCACACAGAATGAAATATCTGCCAAGACCGAAACCACTTTAAAGCCATTTATCTGAAAGGACAGATAAACATACAAGTGATGTGTAAACTCTCTGAGGCTAAACATGAGGCATTTGCTGCTGAAATCAGTATTCGCTTGACATCACCTTATCAGTCAAACTTCTTCACGTGCAGCTTCCCCCGATAAGCGTCAGCTGCGCTTTACAACTCACATGCACACGCTGCTTTCAGAACGTCGCCACTAAAAGACAGATTTCTGAAAACCGTCGAGGCAAAACAGGCACCAGCTTCTCCTCTCTTGACTGACCTATTTCAAATAATTGCATCAGACTACCATCGGTGATATAAGTCCCGCCTACAGCCGTGGCCTATCAGTGCCAACGCTGATTGCGACACTGCAGGCGTGTAAGCCAATCACATTCCAGTCCTCTCAATGGAAATTTCATATGAAGACGAACTGAAAACCAGCTTCTAAGCAAACAAGCCAAACAAGTATTTTTTGAGCACTTTGAGAGTGTTTTATGTAAAAAAAAAAAAAAACTTTTATTTACAGCAACAGTTGGTTTATGTTTTTTAGCTTTGAAATACTGTTTCATCATCAAGTGCTTAAGCAAAACTTTCTTTGTTTACTTGTGCGTGATAGGAAAGTACTTTACTCACATGTACACAGTGGTACAAAAACTTTTCTTTAACTACTTTTTAAACGTATTGTTTCAAAAATCATAACTGTGTATCTCTACACAGTAGGACTAGATTCTTAAAGACATTTTAACATTCATTTAACATTTATTCCATTTGGAAAAATAGACAGTAGTTGTTTGCCATTAGGATCACAATTTATGGGAAAAAGGCTGCAATTAAAACAGTTTCCGGTGTTTGAGAGAATTACTGTAGTGGTACAAACAAAGAATATGGCTGAAATCTCAACAAAGAAACAAAGAGAAAGCTGCGTCAGAGTGGGTTTGTTTTTAACAAGAGGGAAAAAGGGTCAAATGCATTGCTAGCGTATCACATAGGACAATTCGCATGTACGGACCCTCCTTTCCGTTATGACAAAGCAAAAGTCACCCAGGTCACATCGTTGCGCAGCTCAGCATTGAGAAATCCAAGTTGACATTTGAACCCATGCAGCAGTGGACTATAAACAGCCCTGGGGCTCGGTGAGCTGGAATCACGCGCCGCATTGAGAGGTATATCTCACAGTAACTGTGCACGAGATGCAGGAAAAACATAAAACAGCCCTGATCTGAAATCAATAAGGCTGCAGAGTGGAAAAAAAAAAAAAAAAAATCCAGGAACAGTAAGAGAACAAGGCGCACAGTTCAGCTAAAAGGCATAAGGATTGTTCAGCTCTTTTTCTTTCTATCTCGTACCGAGGGAAGATTTTCTAAGGGGCAGCAATGATCCACTTATGGCCTATCAAGACATTAGCCTGGAGTTCCAGGTGTCAGATTGGATACGCGTTCACTCTGCTGCAGTGCTTCAGAACATCTCTTTCCCTTTCCCTTTCCCTTCCCCTCTGCGAGTCTGTCTCCTGCATCTCCGTTTCAATTTCCACCTCAGAGCCTTTACGCTTTTAAAGGTATTGATATTAACCATGATGAGTCGTCATCGCTGAGCTTTATAGCGCGAGCACGCGTGCGATAATGGCGGCGCTAATAGAGATCATTACCGACAGAGACGATTAAAATTATTAGGAGCCGGGCCCCCTAAAAACCAGCAAACAGCTTGGACAAAAAAATATTGACAGCACGGAGTGGGAGCCTCCAAGGACATTGGAAAAGAAATTAACATCGGACACAATTCACCGATGAGGCACAGAAGCATCTAAAAAGAGATGTATAAAAGGACTGCTGGTATGTTTTGCGACTGTTAATGCCGCTGCGATGCTAAAGTGTCCTCTGCCATGAGTCAGAACAGCACGACTTCGCCGATTGGCAAGACAACTGGTTCAACAAAGCTGCGGACGTCATTCCTTTTGACAATAAAGGGAGTGGCATGGACAGTACTTATCTTTTTCTGTCCTGTTTACTGAGGAGCGGGGAGAGGGGTGTTTTAACAGGATGAGAAAATAAACCAGAGCTCTGCAGACAGGATTAAGAGTGAGGATGTCATCTTTTATACACAGCCACGAGCTACTCGGTGAAACTCACTAAAAATAGCAGCAGGAAGCTGGCGTGAAGCAGGAAATGAGGTTGAGACGGTACCGGTATACATTTAAAAAAGGATAGGAAAGGAATTCTACCTGTGGCAAAACTAACTACATTAACTCACCTCGGAGATTTGTGCCCAGCGTTACGTATTCTGGTCTTATTGCTGACCAAAATGGCCGACAATAAACTAGTGCTTAAGTCTTAAAATGAGAACAGAGAGCTTAACAACAGTTGCACGTAATGTGAATCCCAAATTCCTGGGTGAGGTTTTGTGTTTCTGCTTTTACCTACTGTGATCTTGTATAACCCAGATTTTCTTTTGACACGTTGGACAGATGGAGGATGGAGGACGTCCCTTCACTGGGTGTTATTGCTGCTGAAAAGTCATACGTCCTGCATCCTCTTTAAACGTTTAAGATACAACACCCCAATTTTCCACCGGGGTGAAATTTTATTCTATATTCCTTAACATGATGGCAAAAGTTTTAGTCAAGAGTTTCAGTCAAAATGACTTTACTTTGATTAGATTTGAATGTTTTAAGTTTAGCCACTAAAAATAAATCAACTATGATTGCTGCAACACATATGCTTCGCTAGTGTTAGAATTTCCCTTTTTCACGATTTAAAAGCAAGTTACAAGCTATTTTGATCACACACTGATGATGAACTCACTAAAAGAGAACAAGCTTTGCTTTCTGTTAAGAGACACAATAGAAATATGAGTTGATTGATCGGCTACTGCCTAAAACAATCCAGACTAATGCAAGAGTTGCATTGCTACAGTGTAACAACTAAGACTGGCTGGAAAGTCTTTGACAAATGTTTCTCCAGTGTACAATAAATGAAGGACTTAATGTAATTTGTACTTTCTTCTACTGTATAAAATACAATCTGGAAGTAAATTCATGACTGGCTAATTTAATGCGCAACTGTTGTAAGTTGATCCTAAGTGAATAAACTGAACAGTAATGTAAATGTGCATCAGTAAAACATATCAGATAAACAAGAAGAAAGTGTGTTTTTGTTAAATTAGCATGCAGCTTTAAAGCATCTTGGGAGTTGCAAATAGTTAAATTTATGTCTATTGCAGTTTTATTGTAATACCCTCTGAACCGTTTAAAACTCACAAAAAGATTCAAGATGAGAGCAAAACTGAACTGTTTTGAATTTGACTGAAAGCTTTGGCTCACCTTTGGTCCCCAAATGAAACGAAAATTAAGTTTAGGAGGATAAAATACTTTCCACCAAGCAGAAAGTCTAAGTGGCTTAGCAAAGGGTCAGGACAGATATGAGGTGACACTCAAAAGATGTGCGCCTTCCTGCGCTACTGGCAGGTAATTTTATTAAATGTGCATTATTTCAAGGTCCCAGTCCTTTAAATGCGATAAAGCGTAATCTGCTGTCTGTGGCAGGCGGCAGCTCGCTGTTTGTCCTTTTCCGAGGTCAGCCGGTTCCTCTTCCTTCGCATAAAGAGAGATATCCAGTTTGCCCAAAAAAAAAAAAAAAAAAAAAAGTTCAAAAGGACCAAAGTTTGAAAGACACCAAGCTGAAACGCTAAATGCTACAATACCTTGCACGCCGAAGGTGTTCAATAATTGCTCTTTTTTTTCCCAAGAAACATTCCCGATAGCATGCGGTAACAAGTAGGTGGTCTGGAGCCGGCGTTGAGGAGCGTGGGATGTGGGGCTTTATGTAATCTGCAAAAAAAATAAATAAATACGTTATGCAAAGTAACTCCTATCAAGTTTTGTTGACGCAAAGACATACCATCTCTGAGACCTTGAAACAAGAGAAAGTGAAAGTGTTAATAGTATTTCATGCACCCATGCTGAATAACTGCAGCCCAAAAGACGTGCATGTCCTCATTCAGACAAACCAAAATATATAAATATAAATATATATATGAATTACAGAGAAGCTTTTAGGTCAAAACAAGATTTATGTTCCCTGACCACCCACCAGGACTTTCCCATTATCTCTGTGTATTGCTTTTAGTGCTAAACGATGCCCCGAATGACTCATAAATAAAGCATTTAATCACAAAAGGGGAAAACATGTCTTCAGCCTGAGTTACAGCATTTAGGTTTATTTAGTGTTGTGATATTATATAGATATATTTTTAATCAGTAAATGATAAATCCTCGCGTTTAATCTAGATCTAATGTTATACCATAGCAACAGTGGCCTTTTAGAATGCTTAATAAAAAAAAAAAAAACAGTTTATCATGGCTTAGTTGTGAGCATGAAATTTATCTTCCCAGTGCTGAGCAATGTGAGGGGGAATGTTGCAACTCTTCCCCACGAGGATGAAATTGCAGAGATGTTCCAGGCCTTGTGCACGGCTCCTTGTTCCCATTTACTCCTGTCCCCAGACTGGAGTTCTCCAACACGGGCAGAGAGCAAGAGATCCACCTATGAGGATAAGGCTTGTACGTGTGTGTGTGTGTGTATGTGATTATTTTCCAAGACAAAGAGAAATCCAGGGCAACTGTTTCTATTGATTTTTTTTTTTTCCTGTGTATGCTCTGAGTCAGTGGCCAGGTTTGGAGAGATTCATGCATTCAGGCTTCCTCTCAAAGTGAATCTACAGATCCGTTCCTCGGACGTCGGCGTGGTGAGCAGCAGCACTTTCTGCTACGCGGTTTGATACGCTTAAAGTTGCTATGCTGCAGTCACGATTATACCAGAAACTTAAAAGGCAGGCAGTATTCAGTGAATGCAAGTGAGCAACGCACCTGCACTTTCCTCTCTAATGAAAGCATTGTTCCCATTTTTACCCCTCTTCCTTCATGGACATTAACTTTTATTGCATAATAGCCTGGTTGTGACAGTACACTAAGTTTTCCTTTATGTTTGTTCATAAACATTGATCACTGTTCCACGTTGTGGCTGGCATTTTAAAAGTGTATAGTAAAACAAGAGCCGTGGAGTTTTGTGTTGTTTTTTTGCGGGCCTTTTGGTCCACATGGCTCAGCAGAGGATATGAATGACTGGAGAGTTGAAGCTTTGTAATTACGAAAGTTTGCTTCTCCTTGGACTCCTTTGTTCATTCTTGTTTGTAATGCAGCTCCAGCTCAGTCAGGCTGGATCTGAAGGGTCCGTGAAGAGCAGTTCCAAGATGTGTCAAAGATTCTCAATTAGACCCAAGTCTGGAGTTTTACTGGGCCATTCTATCACATAAATATAGTTTAAGCTAAATAATTTTATTGTAGCTCTGGCTGCATGTTTAGGACCGTCAATCCTTTTGTAGCGTTTAACAGTGTTTATTTTCTGATACATGCTGAAAAAAGCATGTTATAATGCCTACTATATCAAATTGAGATTTCAAATGTTCAAACACAAAGAGAACATTTTTAAATATATTTGCTATATTTCCTAAATGACTTGGAGAAAATGATTTTTTTTCTCCCATACAGTGACTTTCTTCTTGATACTTTTACACAAAGGTCAGACTTTAAGTTTAATAGGATTTGTGTGACCAGATTTAAGTCTATCTGATTACCGTATTTTCCGCACTATAAGGCGCACCTAAAAACCTTCAATTTCCTCAAAAGCCGACAGTGTGCATTATAATCCGGTGCGCCTTATATATGGACCAATATTGAGCCACAACAGGTCCAGAAACAGACCTTAACACAAGGGGCCGCGTTTCATTGGCTAATGCCCATTTTACGTCACAGCGCAGCTACCACGTGCGTGAACAAGAAATTTAGCTCTAATCCAGAAGTCAGTAAGGAAATCGAGGTTATTTTGCCTTCACAGGATCTGTAGATCTAAGGATGCAAGTACTGCGAAAACATAATTAGCATTAAACTCCCATATTATTTTTCAAATAATGACCTTAAACGTAAAGCTTCATTTCATCTTCCAGCGAAGGAGGGTTCTCTCACGGGCGCCGAGGATGAGACATGAAGGAGAATAAAATGCAGGACACCACTTGTTCCTATAGTTTCAGTTTCTGTTACTCCTCCTCAACATCACAGATCAAAGAACGCAAGGGGAAAAAAAAAAAAAATATATATATATATATATATATATAGTGACATACATTCCTGTCAAAAATGTGTTTATAAAAGTTAGACAAGTCTTTACATTCAAAAGGGAATGATGACGTTAGGAGTTCAATGTAAATCCTGAGTTGAAACGACGGAGTCTGAGAAAAATGAAATCCTGTAAGTGTTTATGATTTCTGTGTTAAAAAGATGACAGTTCTTAGGTAGAATGGATGTCTTGTCACCCTTAAAGGATGCGAATTGTGTAAAACCAGCTTAATTTACCCTTGAAGTCTTTACCACAATACGAGTGTGAGTTAATACTCATCTGTACCATTTTATAGTTGGAGGTCACAAAAGCTGTGGAGTTTTTTGCTCACCATTGTCTTTGGCGACCCGGCTAAGGAAAATTAGCAATACAAACTGTAAGCAATGCATTTCTGATTTTCTGTTTTTTTTTTTCTGCTTTGAAACACCACAGTAACCACTTTACTGGAAGAAACTAGAGTTGCTATGGATTTATAGGACGTAAAACGTCAGACGTGGGAATAAACGGTTTAATTCTGCAGCTATCATTACTTTTTATGTACATGGCAGCAATTTTGTACATGACAGTGATTTTCCGGGGTCTCTAAATAATCTGAGGTCGTTAATGAACCTCAGATTTCCAGTGAAATTTCAAGTTGGAGGAAATTTTATTTAGGCAGAGCTCTACTCCTACATAGACTGTAATTTCCCTCTGAATCAGGGCTTGTTGCTACAGATAAAAGATATTCTACACAGCATCTGGCACCCAAAAACTGTGTTTAATATATGTAATCCATATTTAATAATCAGACGAGTATCTATGAATTCAATTTCGATGCTTTGAATGCCTCCAAGTGGTTAAATAAGTATGATCTAATCAGATGTGTGAAGGACCCAGCAGTGTTTTCGTGACTTAACGGCAACTGGAGTGAAATTCTGAGACTTGATTCACCGTATCTGTCTGAGGTTCTGGGATACGAGGGGCTTGTAAGTTTATGCAACATTTGCTGTAAAGAAAACATCCAGGATGGCACAGAGGCGACAGAAACAGATGTCAGTTTTGTAGTTCAAAGCCTTTTTTTTTTTTTGGAGTTGGCAAGTAGCAGGTATAAACAGAGGTGTCTATAAACTAAACACCTCTGTTTCAATATAATATTGCTATTTTACCAGTCTCTGCAGTAGCACGTCACACAAATATGTGATCCACTGTTACCTCTCCGTTCAAGGTTGTGTAGCATTTCGTAGACCTTTTAAAAAGTCTTAATATTTCACGCGGATTATCATCTGACAATCAAAACATGAATAAATATGGCCGGGCGACAGAATTGCCGGTTCTAATTTAGTCCTGTTTATCGTTGTTTTGTTGTTTCTGCTTAGCTTGTTCCTCTGCGAAGTTTGCCACCTCACATTCCAAAATCTCTGTCTACCTCGCAATCTGCAATGCAAATGGGAAGCCCATGCAGAACAGGCCAGATGGTCCTTCACAGGCTGCCATGCCTTGGCCAATCAATAAATCCTGCCTGTGTCTATTGATCTACGCTCACGCTTTTGTTTCCCGTGCTCTTCTTCTAAAAATAATAATAATAAAAAAAAAAGACATACAAACATGTCGTGTTTGTACTTGAATGTCACTTAAATTGTGGCGAGAATGCTGTGGTGGACTCTGAGAGTCAACAACGTATTAAAAGGCCTCTCCGGTTGATGAGGAGTGAGTTAAAATAGGATTTCAGATTTTCTATGCGACCAGTGTTGGGCCACTCAGTGTTGCTTTTGGCCTACCTCCAAAAGAAGTCAGGCATCCACTGGCAACTTTTGGAACCGACGAGCAGGAAATGATCATTTGCATCTCTGCTCCTCTGTCAAGTCGAAGCCCTCTCCTCCTAAAATGAACGCTGTCAAATGCTGACAAGATGAGCGATGTTACGCACACGTGCCAAAGTGTGTCAGGAACTCATCTCCCCACCTGTCCTTCAAACGCGCAGCAGGGTGCCATCTTGCTTTTTACTCACTTTCACTGACGAGTCGATGTGTGTGTGCGGAGGATGGCGGGGGTTCATTTGACGGGGTGCAATTTCCCCTCCTGCTTAACCCCAAAAATAGACCTCATCGCTTTGTTGTCCCTCTTGGCAGCAGTGAGTCTTTCTTGCCATGACACGCTGTCAGAGAGCAAGGCAAAGTAGCAATTTGCCCAGGTATCCAGATTTCTAAACGGAAGTCAGACGTGCTCCTTCTAAATTTAGATCAAATCCTATTAAAGCTTGCAAACCCAAGTGACACACAGTTGGAGGGTGTGGATGCGAGATTTTCATGCAATGCACTGTTTAACCGGTATATTCTAAGGCTTTCGTTACTTTCGCACTTCCGATATTGTGGATATTCCAGCTAGAGCACAAGGCGGTGTCACAGATGCATCACCTACTTTTGAGAAGTTTTTAACTTTGCATCTAAAAGTCTGTTAAGAGCAATTCTTTCTGAAAATGACAGTGGATATGAGGCTAAAGAGACTTCCTGGTGTGGACTACGCTGTTTTTTTTTTTTTCTTTCTTCTGACCAATTAAGATTTTCACGCTTGCTTCTAAATCTTCACAGCGCATTATCACAGCTCCGGATAAAGCGTGCCACAGAAACAGGCTGTTAAAAAAGCACAGAGGAGAATAGAGTTCCAGTCAGAAGTCAGA